TAATTCCACCTCTAAACTACTAACAAGTCTTCCCTAATCTATATCAACCTACATGAAGACTTGCAAATGGTAAAATGTCCTGAGCTTTGGCAAAAAATGGTGTCCTAACCTGATTTCACACTCACTAGAATTGCATACTTACAATCTCATTTGATTAATTTCTTCACATATGTAAAACACCACCATAATAAGGGTGAAAATCTCACAAAATCCACGCAGTGAATCAGCTTCCCCCCCATATTGGGTGGGGTCTACTGTTGTGGAAGCACTCAGCGAAGAATATGACAAACACAGCAAGAAGATCACATACAATGCTGCTTGAAGGCTGTGGGAAAGATTTGGGAAAAGTTGGTGATAGTAAATTATGCCATTATTTGAGTTTTTACTCCAATTATTTTTAATAAAAGATTTACACCCTACATCCTGACACCATGTAGCTTTTTCACAAAATCATCATTTTGTCTTTGGTAGAGATAAGAGAAAGGGGACATCATTAATTTCCTGTTCTATCTCTTAGTACACAGTGGACACTACTTTTCCTAAGATGATATACAAAGATTTTTTTGGTAACTTGGTTCATTGTTGTGATAACTTTTCTGTTTTAGTGGATGCATCTCTCTCAATGTTTCCCCTTTGTTTAGTTTAATGCCTTACACCACTAAATGTTCACCCCTTTATGCAAACATGTATAAAGTATACCTCAGAAAAAAGTGTCCATAACTTTTCCATTTTGTTTTCACCAACATTCTAACCACAGGATGTTGTAAGGCCTCCTAAAAATGAAAATCAGGCAGTACATTTCAAAGAGAAAGGTGAATATGATACAAGTTTAGCACAAAGACATTTTTTGATATCCATATTTTAGTTTGAATTATGCCATGCTCATATTTTTGTAATAGTTTCAATACACTACAGATAAAAATGAAAATTCAATGTTGCTGTTAACTCCGTCGCCATTTCTCATAGTCTAATAGTAAGAGTAGGCATTAGAGAGCAGATTGCAGGTTTATAGCCTTACCTTATTTTTGCTCTTTGCAATTAAATGCAAACAAGACCTATCTCTCCAGCTGAAATGTTTGTTGTCTATCTGCTTTTCTCTGCCAGGCATTGTAAGCCTTGGAGGGCATCCACCCTCATCACTATCCAAAATATGATAGTAAAAGTGATAATCCATAGGATCATCAGTGATTGCCCTCCAAGCTCCCTCAATTCCTTCCTTCTCATGTTCATTTTTGTAACTTTCTTTACGTTTTGGAAGATGTGGCCAGTGAGGATTCACCATCTGGTCTAGCAGAGCCAATG